TAATTTTTATTGAAAAGATAAATAAAGAGTTATCCAAAAACATATCTATATAGAACTTTAAAATTAAATTTTTTCTTGTCATACATTTTTATTTAATGAGTAATCAATCATATCTAATTTTTATATAATAAAACAATTCAGTAATGAAAAGTTCATAATGAATTAATATGATTAAGGACCTAGAGAAGTAAATTTAAAACATAATGTTTTTTTAAAATATTTTGCTTTTACATTGAGTAATATGAAGACATACATACGATAATTTAATTAATAATTATGACTATTTTATTCTGGCTTTTATAGAGGTTCTAAGATTTATTTCTCTTATCATTTTAAAAGGGGATATTAATTAATATAATAATTCATTAATTCATATTATTTTATTTCTTAGCTACTTTTTTTTGTGCATTTATTTATGTAGAGAATATTATTATATAAAATTTTATGTTCATTAAAAAAACTATGTAGAAAAATAAAATAGTTATTAAAATATTATTAAATTTTTTTTTTTTTTTTCATTTATATTAATAATCAAAATGATAATAAGAATTTCATTAAAAGTTAGGTTCCTAGTTTATAATGAGTAATGTCTTTATGGAAAATAAAAAGATAGTCATGCAAGCGCAAGGTAAAAGAAAAAAATATGTAATTTTTTTTTGTTTTCTTTTTGTAGACTTAAAATACATAAAAAAAAATCTATTAACTTTTTTTTTTTTTAAATGATTTAATAATCTCAAAATAAAAAGAAAAGCTCCTTAAAATGTTTCTTTGTAGTGAATTTTTTTTTTAATTTATACAAGAAATTTTAATATTAACGATAATAAAATTTTCATGTTTTGTAGTTATATATAATTTATTTTGTTAATTACTTATGTTTGTTAATTTGATATTAATGAATTTAAATTACTAAAAATTATTCATAACATTAAAGTAAAATGAATATAATTAAAAATTAATAATCAATGGAAACTTAAATTTTTAATAAAAATAGAGATTTTTATTAAAATAAATAAATTCCTCTTAATAATAATAAATTCTCAATGATTTATACTATATAAATATGGTATACTAATACATATCACTAAAATTATATTTAAATTCATTAAATTATTACAAACATCTTTATCTATTCTTTATTAATTGGTTTTTTCAATGCTCTAGGAATGTCATTGAATAGATTGTTAATAAATCATGTAATAGATTAATTCTTTTTCGTTCTTTCTTAGTTTTTTTTTTAAAAAAATGATGACTTAAAAAAAAAAAATTACTTTTTTTTTTGAGTGGGTGATGACGCATAATAATTTTTTTTATGCATTATTAAGGATGTAATGTTAAAAAATACATCCATAGAAAATCGTGTAAATTAACCAAAATAGTATTTAACCAGTGTAATTAATATTCCATATTATTTAAAAAAAAAAATTAAATAATTTTTTTAATATTTTTATTTTAATAAACATAAAATAAATAGAGCTTTCTCCAAGTGCTCTTTATTAATCAATTTATTCAATACCAAGTCATTTAGCGAGTAATTAATAAATTAGACATTATGTAAATTAATTTAAATAATAAATAATTTAATTTATTTTATTTGAGTATAATAAATAGAGTTTTCTCCACATTCTCTTTATTAATTTGTTTGTTCATTACCATTAAAGTTACTGAACATGCAACTAATAAATTACTAATATTATGTATATTTTATAAACGTGTGTTAACTACATTTCAAAAAGTATTCATTTTTTGGATAACTATTTTTCTTTTTTATGTGCAAACATAATATTATTGTACGTATCATCATGCATATTT